TGGAAGCAGGGGGCAATGAGCAAGAAATTAAGTCCAAAAAGAAGAAAGGGTACGGGGTATAGTGCCATTGACTGCAACGCCGTACGCAGAGAGATGCCAGCCGGTGTTCTTTGAAACGGCGGAGGTCAAGAGAGCCTTCGGATATGAGCAGTCATATTCTGCTGGGTGCTCTGTTGGGATGAAAGACAACAGATATAATTTGGTGTGACCGAGCCGTCGGGGATTGCGACGCAGAAGGATTTCTGTTTAGCTCACAAAATGACCATTTCGCGGTGTCATGCCAATCATTCAAAACTCGTGAAGAAAAGTCGAATTTCCAACAGAGAAATGAGCGTCGCCGAAACGTCATGCCGTTTGGGGGAGGCTACCTGACGAGCATGCATCGAGGTGATCGACACAAACCACCAACGGCCGTTCTTGGATCCTAGGCGATTGACGTTGTATGGGGCGATTTCTATCGAGAGAAGGGAAACCAAAAAGGCGTGCCTACCGTACTTGCTTCTATTTGGGTATGAACGCGAGCTGTGATGGATCATGGAGGACGACTTTTGTTGGTCTGGATGTCTTAGCTCCCGTAGACTTGCAGATAGGATGATGCATGGTGTCGCTCCTCGACATGCGCGCGTTCCCTTCTCGTGGCCGCGCATTAATAGCACTGTCGCTTAGGGCGGGACGAAGAAAATAAAATACCCCAATACTAAATTACCCCGGACAGCAGATACCGACATTGGTCTGTGTGCGAGACAGACAAGCCACGACTCAGACTCGGGCTATTCGGGTGGCAGAGGTTGACGACGACAGACTCGTGCTTGGGCAGCTGATTGCGCAGGTGCTTCATAGTCGAACAACACGACACCAACCCCATCTTTCCCCAACCTCTCTCCTTTGGGACTTGTTGTTGTCCGGAGCTCTCATCTGCAGACTGACGAGCAGTCGGGTAATTAAATGGATGGTGATGCCGATGCACTTCCGGCCTGCCATATGTATCCGTAGTTCGTCTTGCTGCAAGCTACGCCGCAAGCAGCAGATGCCCGCGTTTGTCAACGGAATCAGGGACCCTGTGCAAAGCTGGACCAGCCCAGCGATTGGGGGGGGGGGGGGGGTTTCTTGACGAATAAGCCGCCGACAATCACAGCCCTTGCCCTTGCGGCCTTGTCTCCCTCTGGGCCTCTTCTCCGCAGTTCGCGGCTGGCTGCCCTAGTCTGGACCGGGCTATTTGGAGTAGATTTGCACCCCGTGGCCAAGGAGGGGTTGTCCCCGGGCATCGGAAGGGAACGCCAAAGCGAAGCCATCGTGAGAATTTTCTGCCCCTCAGACTTGTTTGATGATTGGTCCCAAGCCCCTGCTCCCCTGCCACGTAGGCGTTTTTTCGGGTTCGTTGCAGGGAAGGCAGGCTCACCGGTGAGACCACCCAGCCGTCCCTGGAGGCGTGTGGAAGCCGAAGCATCGTGAGCTTCACTTGTTTCAGTGGGTCTCGTGAACCTTCTATGGAGAAACGACAATGGAGGTACCATCTCATTCCGCTCTGACAGGCTCTGCCCGGTAGAGAGGGAGAACCACATCGTGGACCGTTCTGGAATTTGGACCCTTCTTTCCTTTTTGGATAGTGGTTCCGAGTTCGTGGCGGCCCAGATTCTTCGAGGCCTACGATGCATCTATTCCTTACCTCACATATTGCTGAACTCAGCGGGGACGGCTTTCACCGACCGGTAGTAGAGCTGGTCATTGGGAGTTACCCATGGCTGGTCTTGACGAACTTACTGCGTATACATGATCCAGTTCTGAGTACAGAGTGTTCATACACCCGCCCTACGGCGTGGTCACCGTTGTTTTGTTGGATTGGGTTAAGACGAGCAGGGCGCTCGAGCCGGGAGCGTTTGGGCTGTCAGCGAGGTGTGAATGTCGTGGAACGATTTTCTGGCCCGGGATCGTTAAATTCTCAGTCAGAGACGAGATCCGCGTGCCTCAATGGCTGATACTGATAACAAGGGTCGGTCCGTGTATGCTGCAACTTCACAGCTCATATCTGCCCAGGGTGCCGGACTAGAGGTATTGAACATACGGCAACGATTAGGTACGAATTGTTTGTTTCTACGTTCATCGTTTGCATTTGAAGCTTCATTCATGAACCCAACCACGCCGACTTGCTGAAATCTTTCTCGGCGTAGTGGACCTCACTGCTGCGGTGCTGTGTCCGAGTTGACCAGGGATGATCAGTGATCGTCGATACATTCGAGCAGAGGCCCAAACCTCAGAAGCGCTAGACAGGGAAGGTAAGAGGTCCCGGAGAAATTCATGCCTGACTGTGAGCATGCGATGGACGGAGGTTTCCATTGAATCGAGCCGATCTAGTCTCGAGTCTCGACCACAACCAGCTCACAAGTATACAAGTAGGATTGATGGGCATCGGGCTGGTTGTTGGAGATCATGGCCCGGGGCGCCGTGGCCCCTTCGATCTCTACGAGCGTTGATTCCGAAAAGACACTGCGCACGCCGCAGACTGGACGTTAACGTGCCACTGTGCCAGCGGTATGTGGCTTTCCGTGGTGCCGTCTCTTCCCGAGACTGACATTGCCAGCCGGCCAGCGATGCTAATCCGGATCGGGTAACCTGACGGAACGAGCTGACCTCAAGTCCGATCGCTTCTCGTAAGAAGCAGAGCTGGCTCGGCGGCTTTCTTTGGTTGTCAACGCATTGTCCAATCGCATGGCAACTCCAGTGGTATCGTTGATTAAGCTAGTGCCGTTCACAATCCAGGCTTGCGGTTCCTGCACTCTCATCACCTCTGTCGTTCAGGCCATTGTCTGGATGGTGGGCAACTGGACCGCTGCAATTTGGGGCAAGGAGTGATTTTGTCTTGCGGTCTTTCGAGCGCTTGTCGCGTGTCTTGGTCGCCCGTTCAAATGCGATGGTTATGACAACTGTTTAATCGGTCACTCTGACACAGCAACGCTCTGTGGAGTCTCTGGCATTGAGGGATCTTCTAGTAGGACGTGGTATAGCGGATGAGTGGGTAATGTTGCGCTTCTTTCGACACTGAAGGTGTACGAAGGAACACCTGGCAACCTGTAGTGAACTCGTGATATTCGGCGGTTTGTCTCTGAATGTTCAAGATTCTTCGAGCTTCTGGTCCCGCCTCTATGTTCGCTCCTAGTAGTAAAGCGTCGTGCACAGTCGTTTTCGTCCTTGAGATTGCGAATGATGACAATGATGCAAGCTGCGCAGCGAGTGGAGACCGTTAGGCCTCGACGAAACCAGCAGAATAGCCGTGACCAGGGGTAGCCTGGACAGGTGAGAGAACTTGGATGATTGGGAAGTATCGTCCGCGCCGCATCTCTACCCGAGATAATTGACGGCGATGGAGTCTCCATCAGCGACTCCACACATATCCCGCTCCGACATTGACGATGGTACCTCGATGCCAGCATCGCTTGCTGCATGGATAAGGGTAGTTCCAAGACCGCCGAGTTGACGATCATGCTTGATCTGGAGTATTCCGAGGGCTGAGTTCGGGAGCAGATGCAAGCCGGGTTGCAATAGAGGAGCTGTTCTTCCGCGGAACAAAAGCGACGGAGTCGAGCAAACTCAATGAAATCAACGGCAGCGACAATACCGGCGACGAAGCAAAACTCGAGTCGTTCGTCGATGGCTGAGCCAGGGTCTATCCTGCTTCACTTGCGCCTGGTGCGAGCGCCGCCCCTGATCGATCGATTGGTAGTTTCCTCGACTCTGAGTGGCTGGCATCTGGAGTGCGAAGAAAGCTAGCCCCATATCCATGCTCACGGAGGAAAGCGTATTATCGTAGCCATTGCCTCGATCGCCAGATGTCGTGTTGTTAGTTATCATTTGATGACCCGAGACTACAGAGCGATGATTGACGGCGGTAGAAGGCTGAACAGTCTAAAACACCAACGGCGAAGATTGCTTGCCGAGGTGAGCATCCCTTCGACTGACAACGAGTGCCTCATGTTGCTCGTTCCACGGCCGAAACCAGCGACCAAATGGCAAGTGACAATGTGCCCAGAGAAATTTATGTATCCAATGAAACGTGGTTCCCGAGCTTGAGAGCAGAAATTTTGCAGGACATCAGGCCATTGTACGGTATCAGCGTCTTGTCAAGCCAATGCCAAGCCTCGACCGCGTCGTGGACAGCTGTGTTGATGATTTACTACAGTCGGGGATGTGGTTGGACGCCCCCGTCGATGTATTTGCTGTCACCGAATGCTCCCCGATGGCCGGATGCCCCCCCTAAGAACAGTTCGATATGTACATAAATTAGACGATCAGATCGCTTTTGCGACTATGCTGCTGGACTGCCGGGCAGTCGCATTTCTGCCGTCCAAGTCAATTCCAGGATGATGCGGTTGTCGCATTAGGGTCTCGTTCGTGGCGTCCAAGAAGGAATCATGCAGAGACAGGAGAGATGCAGCTCCGAAACTAGGCGACAAATGAGCGCTGCAGAGGGCGTCTTGCATCCAATGGCCATGTCGCACAGTGAGCCAGGAGAATGACACTTGCATGCGTGTGAGTTCTGGTTGCGGAGCTGACCCTGCAGTTGTTCAGAGGTGACTGGAGAAGCCAGTTCCAGATGCTGGGTTTTGACCAATGCCGAAGAAAGAGTGCCTATGTTCGCTGCTCATACTCGTCTGTTCGTGGTCTTATGAAGGTCTTGTTTCCGCCCGTCGGTGTCGGGCCTTGTCAAAGAAAGACGGGATGAGCCACCTCCATGCGCGGGTTCTTTGTATGCGGCAGGGTGATCTGAGGAAACGTCAGGTTTGCGGGCGCGACAGCCCTGGAAGGAGAACGTCAAGAAATTTAGATTCTCATCTGCCGGATGGTCGATGGTCTCTCCGCGCCGTCTCTAACAAGATCAAGCCATGCTCTCCATGACCAGCAGTTTGTGGCTGTAGGCTGTAGCATGTCTCGTCATAACTACGCAGCCGGCTCTTCGGCTGCTACGCAGCGAACAAGTGGATAGCCACCGCCGCCGCCGGCCGCCGCTAGAACACCTGCCCGTACTCCGTACTGTGTAGATTGTTCAACGCACATAATGGATGGTCGAAAGCACTATGTATGTGGAGAACCGTGATCATTGATGTAGGTGGAGAAGATCGGTCGGTTGTGGAAACGCACGTTTGTTGGTAGGGCGGCACGGCGGGAGTTGGGCTTGCTGAACGGGGATCGAGGGCCGCCTGTGAAAATAGGCGACAAACCCGGGAGCTAGGGAGACATCGGACCAGGGAAATGCCTAACGTCGAGGAAGCATGCAAGGTAGCTGAGGTCTGGAGTCTGAAATCTGGATCGGAGTCCAGGCTGTTGCCACCGAATAGTGACATTGACAACGGCAGCGGGCAATGACAAAGACATGCCAACTGCCCGAAGACGGATCAGGCTCCGTTCGGGTTGGGCCGCTGGTCCAGTGTGCTTGCATCGGCCAACTAGAAATTGTTGAATGATTGGGACCGAAGAGGTGGGATTTGTCCCCCAATGTGTGCCGTGTTAGTCATAAACATGCTGGCCGCCGGGTTGAAGAGTCGGATGAAAAGATAGGTATTGGTAGAGTACCTAGGCAGTCAATTACCTGGATAGTGTAATGAGGCATTCGTAAAGATTCGGGGAAAGACAAGTGGAAGAAGAGGCGCGAGACACGCACAGCACGCGAGGAGACGTAGCGAAGGTCGATGGGTACCTAGTTCCTTTGTTCGAATTAGTGCAGTCACTGCAGCACTGGCAGCGATGGCATTTGGATGTCTTGGTGTCGTGCAGTCTTGGGCATCATCTTCGTGCTTGTCTTGCAGGCTTTGCCGCAGGTCGGAGACTTGACTGAGTTGACTCTTCTTGTCGATGACATCTGCATCACGCGTGTGTCACTGCGTAGCGGAACATGTCTTGCATGGGTGCATTCCTCGCGAGGCACTTTAGCCAAAGGCGTCGTTGGAGTGTGTCCCAACCTTTTGATGCCGAAGGATTTTGCAGTTGGGAATGGCTTGTACTGTCTTCCGCGGACCAACACACCTCGTTGACTGGTGAGTTGAGGTGAGGTGAGGTGAGGATAAGGAGTCGTTGGACTCTTTCTTTTTTCTTTTGTCGTTATTTTTCTCCCGGATGCTCAGGGCTGTGGTGCCGGTGGTGTGTCGCAGTACGTATCTGTATTTGTAGCAAACGGCAAGAGCTTAGAGATTGCTTTGCTGTGCTTCGTACCTACCTTACCTTCCACTGCCCAAGGAACCTAAGGTCAACGGCGGGGAGAAATCGGTACGTGCCTTGTCGTCGGCGCATGTCGCGAAAAAAGGTGAGAGGCTCCAGCGGGCCAATGACGAGATGCAGATCATGGCGCGATAAGGCAATGTACCTGGTCGGAAGTCCCTCGTTCCCTTTCTCCGTAGCTGCTGCCCTTGCCCTTGCTCCTGCAGTCTTGCACTCTTGCTTCCATCTGGCCCTGCCCCCGCTCCGGTCGTGGTCCCGTTGTCCCCGCTCTGGCCCTCAGAAACTGATTCGGTACGTATCTTTGTCGGAATGGTGAGGATTTGGCTCTTCGCTTCTCTTCTTTCGAGCTTTTTTATTTTTATTTTTATTTATCTATTCCTATAGCGATTCTGTCTTTTCAAGCCCCCAAGCAGCCAAGCCAAGGACTGCCACCAAAACTTTGTCTGACCCTTACTGCTTTTCGAATCTTGAATTCGCAGCCGCAGCACGGGCCAAATATCGGCCATCCTTGCCAATGCACGCACATCCATCTGTCTTGGACCCCTGTGCTCGCCATGCCTTTTGGCTTTTACATAGTAAAGTGCGGTTTTGCCAATGCCAACAGCTCGCTGCCTCTCCTGGCTTGGCCAAGACAGCACACAACCTGTTCTCACTTCTCAGGTGTGCGAGTTGTCTCCTTCTTGCAAGGAACACCGCTCCGAACTGGGGCACGGTATCCATAACTATGCAAGCATGCAGGAGGTCAATTAGATGGAGCAGGCGACGTGGTGCGAGGCATGTGCGGCTACTGGGTCGTAGGAGGATCCATTTGTACCTGACTGGAGTCTTGGACTGTATGGGATTTTCTTGATTCTGTACAGAACGATCCGTCATCGAGATTCGAGGGAGTGATTCCATAGAAACTGACTGATTGCTACTGTGAGGGTGAGGCAAGGAACTGCAAGAAACGAGCATGGTGGAGGAGGGTAACAGAGAATAGAATCGAAACACTCCTAGGGCAGATTCGACGGAGTTCGATGTCGGCAAGTAGAGTGCAGCATAACGTCGCAGACGGATAGGTGCTGGGAACCCAACCCAAGGGCTGCTGCAGCCATACTTTCGAGTGGACGCCATAGAAAAGATGGACGAGTCGAAACACGGGCTGTGGATGGGTTTGTGTCAATCGTAGGTGGCTGTCACACCCTTTGCTGGCTCTGCATTGCACGTCCCCATTGAGCTGGGCTAGCTGACATGCCTCGACCTGTCAGTTTTCGGCCAACTGCCCTAGACTTTGAAGATAATGGCATGTCATCGTAGCTGAACTTCAGATCGATGGCTGAGGCGTACACTACTTGGCAGCGACGACGGCCAGGCCGCCTATGGGAGGGCCTAGACGAGAAGCCACGAGGCTCTGAGATGGTGTAAGCTGCTAACGACGTTTGGTTGCTCGTGATGATGGGACGAGATGAGAGAGAGCCCAGTGCTTTGTGATGCGTATCCGTCGTAGCCTTTGCTGCATGGCGCCTGCAGGGTGAGGTTGCTCTGTTGGGTCACTGTGAGGTGTTACTGGGATGCAAAAGTGAGCTGCGCGCGCTGTACGCAGGCCCTCCGGCCATGTCGTACCACAGTATCCAGATGTACCGTTTCGGTACGATGTTGCTTTGAGAACTCGGGCAATAACCTTGGCAATGAATTGATACGCAGCACGTGCAATATGGCAGTACCTAATGCTCTGTAAGTGTTGAGGATATCTGGACGTCAAATGTGCGGCAGTGAGGACGTATCTGAGGGTAATACAAGCAAGTAGGTACATACTGCAGGATCATGGCTTCGAACGTGCCTTGGGCCGTGCTTGCGCCTCGTTGTGCGACCAGGTGCGGATGCTCCTTATCTCTGCAGCAAGCTGTGCCAAAAGACGGGGAATTCCAGGCGGTGACCTGTGCGGATACCCACCAGCATCACCCCAGCTTCACGCCAGTCCCAATGCAGTGGACCCACTCGAGATAAGGTCCTCGTCTGCAATCGGGACCAATCAGGAGGATGTTGGCCGCGCCCAAAGGCACAGACGCGCATACCGTGTCTTCTGGCCCTCTGTGCACGGTACCTTGGGTCGCAAGGTGCAGGCGCCCCTCCTTCCCGGCCCTCTTCTTTTTCGCAGCATCCCTCTTCCTCCCGCCATCCCGTCTTAATGCTGCACGGTGGCCTGTGCAAAAGCGCGAGGCTAATAGCGAGCGAGGATGGATCTCTCGAATCGCAAAGGCGTGAGAGCGAGGGCACTTTAGGAAGAAGACGGAAAGAAGGAAAGGAAGCAGACGGGAGGAAAGAGCGAGCCCGGTCTGAGCAGCCGTAGCGCCTCGGGCTCTCTCGTTACTTTCGTTACTCGAGTCTCGTAGGAGAACAATTCCCAGCTCCAGTCCAACATTGGATGGACTCCACTGCGGGCGCCGCGCCTACGCAGCATGGCCTGCGGCCTGTCTTGTCTTTTCCTTGCGTTGTGTCCTGTCGCTATTTCGCCTTCCCAGGAATACCAGACCCGGTTGCTCCTCCTTGCCCGCCGCCGCCGCCGCTCTCCTTCCTAGCATTTCCAGGTTCCGGCCCCCCTTCCAATCATCTCTATCACAAACGCACACACCCACACAGGGTGACTCTTGCAAATGCACACGGGGTAGAACATGATTGAGAAAGAGCAGGAGCGACGGCAGCAGCAGCAGCAGCAAGCAAGCAACAGCAGAAAGTGTCGTCCAGCGTCAATTTGTCTGGGAATCAGTCGTGCCTTCCATCCGCTCTCCACCATCCACAGCGACCCGAAACCAAAGGCGCTGCTGGACGCGAGGTGTGTGAATGTCCCACTCTTTGCGGCACCTACCACTACTTCCTTCCCTCTCCCCAATGAAAAAAGTAGAAGAAAAATAAGGGAAAGAACAGAGAGAAACCAAACCTCTTGGTCTCCGTCCATTTCCCAATTCGCTCGCCCACACACCCTCATTATCACCAATAACCCCATTCAGTCACCAACGCAACACCAACCAGCAAGCACCGGCAGCGGGAACACTCCACTCTCACACAGTCAGAATCCCGATCCCAACCCCAGGCTCCCCCCTCTCTCACTCTTGTATTCTCTTTCTCACCCTCTCCCTCTCACTCACTCTCACACACGGCACACCCATCAAATCACACATACCTACTAGGGGTACCATTCATACATACACTATTACTCACTTACTCACACATCCCGACCTCACACTCCGCGGTTTTCTGGCTCGCGCGCTAGGTACTCTCGTACTGTGCACTATTGCCTCCCCTCACTCCCAACCTTGCCTGGCTTTGCCTTGCTTGGCTTTTCAAATCCACACCCACCCACACCCACCACACCAAAAAAAGACTGAGATCCCTCGTCTTGTTCCTCCCCTCGTCTTTTAGTCCCGTCCACCCCCCGGAAGTACCTGACCTTGCCAACCTTTCGAACTTCTTCCGTCTTGTCTCTCGACCCTCTGTCCATCCAACACTTTTTGACTTCACATCGCCTCACAATACCTACTTCATCTTGCGTCCCGCCTGCGTCTTGCCTCAGCACTTTGCCTTTCTGCTAGCGACTCTTCCGACGACTATTTCGACTTCCCGACAACGAAATCTGCGAACCAACCTCCTCCCTCGCACTACAACGATCCAACTTCTCGTCCAAACCTTCGCTCTGTCACTGCAGGCTCGTTACGACCCAGACATCCTTCCTCGACCTCATTCCCAGTCACCCAACCCAAATCTACACCTACACTACGCAATCGAACCGTTCCTATCATGATGGCAATCTAAAGCCCGAACCGTCGTTGCGATCCTTTTCCTCGGCCGCCGTGCGAGCCCCGTTCTTCGTTCTCCCACGCCCCTCATTATGTCGAGTCGCCGACTGGGACTTTCACGACCAGTCGAACCTGAGCGCTTTCACGAATACTATGGACCCACAACAGCCTCTTCCTCATCAGAGGAACTCTCACAACCCTCATCTGCTGGCCCTTGTGCCGCCCACTTCCAATGCCCTACCCTTGAGGTCTTCCGCTAGCACGCCAATGACCTCTCCGGGACTTTTCAGTCCCTCAAACCCGCGTCCGAAAATGAACTTTCCGATCCATGCCTCGTCCGACTCAAACACTCCGAACGTCGAGACCAGCAGTCCCTACCTTCACCCGCTCCAGAACCACAAAGTCAGAGAGTAAGTACAGCTTTTTTTTCCTCTTTGCTATACTATGTTGTGGCCGCGCCTTCCTTCAAATAAAGCCTTTGTGTGAATCGACATCGACGGCTCTCTATCAGTGAGGCGGTATCGTGACTACGTAATTGACAGCGGGGGCCAGCCGCAGGCCCCGCGACAAGGGGATGACTATTTGATAAGCTAACCATATTGGTGACCAGGACACATAAAGCCTTGATTGACTCCGACAGCATTACCGGCCGCAAGCTCATCAACCAGTATGAAGTCATCGAAGAAATTGGCAGAGGTGTGCACGGAAAGGTCAAACTTGCCCGAAATCTCGAGACGGGCGAAAATGTGGCTATCAAGATCATTCCACGGTACTCTAAGAGACGACGACTCGGCAAGGTCATGGCCATGTCCCCGCAGGAAAAGACGATGAGAGAGATCGCCATCCTCAAGAAGATGAGGCATCCCAACGTCGTCTCGCTGCTGGAGATTATCGACGATCCGGAATTGAAAAAGATCTACCTGATTCTCGAACACGTGGAGCTAGGCGAGGTTGTCTGGAGAAAAAAGGGATTACCGCACATCTGCCACCACGAGCGTCGTCGCATCGAGAGAGAAAGCAGAGGTCAGCCGCTGACCCCAGAGGAGGAGCATTACGAAAAGATAATGGAGGAGAGGTACAAGATCCGGGAGCAAAAGCGGGAAAAGATGTCTCGAGCCAACATGAACACCCATGAGTTTTGGAGTATCGAGCACGGTATTTCTGACGACGCGAGTTGCGGATCGCAATCCCGCGTCCCCTCAAGGGACGATCTAGGAGCATTGGACTTTTTCGGAGGCGAAGGATCACAACCCAATTCGCTGCAGGCATCCCGGGCTACATCTCGAGCGCCATCGCGGTCTCAGTCTGTGAAGTCAATTCGCGACACCGTTTTTGACCAGGAAGCCATCGACGACACTGAGGACATCGAGACGCCAGGCCCGCTACAGACCAGCAACCCAGGCTCAGCTACCGCACTCGATGGCACTATGTATGGCGCTTACATGGAAGACGCGGCCTTTCGAGGTCGTTCACCCAGCATGGCCGATTCCATCATTTCGCACATGTCCTCGGTCGACTGGAACACTCGGATGCACGACCCTTTCGCTGAAGACTTTTCCTACGTTCCTTGCTTTACCATCGACCAGGCAAGAACGACTTTCCGAGACACTGTCTTAGGCCTGGAGTACCTGCATTACCAAGGTGTCGTACACAGGGATATCAAGCCTGCTAATCTACTGTGGACCAAAGATCACCGCGTCAAGATCTCCGACTTCGGTGTTTCGTACTTTGGCCGTCCTATCCGAGAAGGCGAGGCCGACGATGAGACGGTCTCAGAATCTGAAGCACAAGATTTCGACGATGATCTTGAGCTGGCCAAGACAGTTGGCACCCCGGCATTCTTTGCACCTGAACTGTGCTACACCGACGCGGACCGCATGGAACAACCGAAAATTTCCGAAATGATCGATATTTGGTCACTTGGCGTAACCCTCTACTGCCTCATCTACGGACGTATTCCTTTCCAGGCCGAAGATGAGTGGCAGATGTTTCGAAAAATTGCCACTGAGGATGTCTTCATTCCCCAAAAACGCCTCAGGGCAGTGGATCCTTCTACCCCTCCTAACTCTGAATCTCTCTTTAAGCGGCATAACGGACCTCCCTACAGGGACGACAACGAACTTGCCTACGAGAACATCGACCCCATTTTGCAGGACCTTCTGCGAAACATGTTTACTAAAAACCCGGACAAGCGAATTCGTCTGAAGGATATCAAGACCCATGCCTGGGTTGCGAAAGGAATTCCAGATGTGGAAGCGTGGTTGGCTGAGACTGACCCAGCCAAGACTTCGGGCAGGCGAGTCCAGGTTAACGACAAGGAGGCGGCCCGCGCTGTCGTGCCTATTGCCTTCTTGGAACGCGCACGATCTACCGTGAAAAAAGCAGTTGGGAAGTTGATGCACCCTTTAGGGGATCGAAGCGATAGCCGGTCAAGGCGGAGAGCTGCCAGCAGTGCTGCCAGCTCGGCTGGAGACAGCATGTTCAATGTACCGCCCACGCCACACTCGAGAGAAGCACGCAGAAAGAGTCTCAAGAGCGAAGACTATTTTTCCAACGTCAAAGACTTTGCTTTTGGCGGCTCCGACCATCCTCTTGTCCACAGCGAGACAGTCTCTCCCTATGAGTCTCCCTACGACCCTCTCGCTACGGCTATCGCTCAACCCGTCAAGGGCCAAGGAGCTGCCCTTTTACATGCCATTCAGAACAGCTACAGCGACTCGAGGACGAACAGTGGCACGGCATCGCCTTCAGATCAGTCAACAATTCCTGGGACAGCGTCATTTTACAAGCCTTTCCAGAGATACTCGCAAAGCCCATCGAATGGCAATAGCTTTTTGACGCTTACAGCTGGATTACCCGAGGTCAGGACACAACCTCCTACACCTTTTTCCGGTGACTCCACACTGGACGATCCGTCTAAGGAAATGCGACAAACACGTGGATACGACGCCTTGACAGAGGAAGCTCTCCGTGCACGCTCAGCAGAGCGTGGCGTGTTCAGAGACCAAGATAAGCGCGCCCCTGCACAAGTGAGCGTCACCACGGCGAGTGTACCTGGTACCCTTCATAGGATGCCTAGCCTTCCTGGCAAGCCTCGAGCTATGCGATCGGTGGACTTGGGTAAGGCGAAGCAGGCCACCAGCGCCTTAGCTTCACCACTGTTCTTTTCGTCTCGGTCTGTCACCGGCTACCAGCATGGCCAGCCACAATCGGACTCAAACATCTACGAGACTCAGCGCCTCACGGCCGACCTAGAGGAGAGACCGCAGACAGCACATAGGATCGAAAGTGTGCGGGATATACCGGAGGCAAGAACGCCACCACCGCGCACATACAATACGTCAACTCCTGAGTCGTTCGCCCGCGCAAAAAGCGAGATGCAGCGCAAGCAAATCGCAGAAAGTCTTATTCAACAAGCTCCGGACGACGTCAGGTCAGACATTGCCGTGATCGATCCAACCGAAGTACCTTGCCCTCTCTCGCCCGATGACGAGCGATTTGGCACGCCGCCACCTCCATCTCGTGAGGACACGATGGAGACTGAAAAGTCCTCCCGCTCGACATCCATCGGTGGCCTGGCTTCTCCTATTACGAATCCCAGCGAAATAGCCAGTCCCGTCTCGTCTGTCAACCACCACACGAAAGAGTAGATGCTTGCCTTCCAATCTGATCCGTCGCTTCCCGCTCTTCTCAGCGGTGCCAGCTCGGTATCCGATGCTGAGCCCGTGGAGCCTGCTGTTATCAACAAGCCTGGTTTACTCGAAACGACAGATTCCCTGACACCTCCAGCATACCTTAAGGAGCCCATGGCCGGATTTCCATTGGAACAATTCGAGCAACAAGGACGATTCGAGACACACAATGCGTCATTTAATGCCGGCCCGATCCCGCTTCGCATCACACGCAGCCCAGTCTACAGAAGCCCGCCTCTCATCCACCACAGTCCCGATATGCGTCCACAAGAGGACGATGATGACGATAGTGATAGTGATGAGGGTCTTTTGATGGCGAAGACCAAGAAGAAATCTACAACCAATACTCACGTCGAACGAATACCTTTCGGGGCAAGGCGACGTGACACAAATGCGAGCATTGCTAGTACAGAGACAGCCAAGAAAGTTGCCATTGGCGAAGAGGTCATCACCTGCGCCGACTGACTTTAACGTGCTTGGCACGCGACTACCTGCCTAGCTCGCGCTCATAACTATAAGCACCCAACTCGACTCATACATTTTTCAACCTGTACAATGGATTCGGGATGGTCTTTTTTGGCACAACATTCATACACAATCGGTGGACTTTTTGAGTTTTCCGCCCGCGTGTTCAACTCCTTGAACACAATCCATTTTCTTGCTTAAAGCATATCTCAAGAACAGCATGCAATCAGATTGCACATCTCCTGCTGGCGCATTTCTGCTGCCAGTTTCGATTCGAGCGCGCTTCCTTTCCATATAGAGAAGAATTGCAATGGTGGCAGTCTTTTGCTTTGACGCTTTTCTCTCTTTCACGTGCCACTGTGGTTGGCGGATGCATTATCAGAGCAGACTCGGACGACGACATGCGGCTACGAATGGAGGAGAAATGACGGAGGGACTACGAAGGGAGGCAGGTTGGGGGAAATCTGCCATCAGGGGAGGCTTTTGGGTTATGGGACAGAGGAGGATGCATCGGCGATTAGACTCTTCCTCTATGCTTTTCATTTGTCTTCAGTGAAAGTTGAGGGCAACGGGGCAAGTCCGACTTGGATAGGGGTCTATAGTCATGCCTGTTCATCATTTCCACATCCCATGAAGTTTGAACACTTTTTTCTTTATCTAGCATCGGCAGCGAGGTTTCGGGAGGAGGTTGTGTTTGTAATAGCGGAGGCGGGAGGTTGATCATCTGGGACCGGGTCTATCGCCCAGACGGAACAGCGCTTCTTATTTCTCCGCGCCTTTTTTTGTGGAGGAAATCTTGCATGTACACAACCCAAATCCGACCACAGATAGCAAAAGAGAAGTGATGGGAAGATTCGTCTATGAATGAATAGAAGCGATGAACACATTTTCTCCATTTCCTCACGTTGTAAAAAGATGAGTGCTCTGATTTGGAGACTGTCCCTGTGATCTCTTTTTATGTGTTCGTTTGCGCCTAGTTATCCTTGTTCCTGACGAGCTGCGTCGAAATGTCATCGGTAGTTGAGGCAGTCCATATGGGAATACTTGATTGTGGCGGCATTCACCGTTACCCGAGAATCAGAACGAGTTGTAGTAAAAACCAGCATGACAAGAATCTTGTCGTGGGTGGCCAAAACCCAGACCATCAAAATGCTCTCTACCTGGCAGACTACCTCACAGTGGCTTCCAAATTGCCACTCATACTACTGCAATCCACGTCACTAAACAAACAACCCGCGTCAAAATCCTTCAAACTAATGGGGACTCTGGTATTTGTGACTAGCGAGTCTACCCCATAGGGAAAGGGCACGACCTTATGAAGATGACAGTAATTACGCGATACAAACAGAGTAGTTCGATCTTCTTTTCCTCAATGTGCTCATCGCTCCCTCTCCACCAACACCCCACCACCACCACAGCCTGGCCTAACTCCCCAAGACAACCAACTTGAGATGAACCGCGAGTAGTCAGTCCCCTCAAGTCCACAATAAGAAACACGCCTTCCCTTCAAACCCCGAGCAAACCTCCTTCCATAGCAGCCCAATCCTTGGAAAGGGAAGGCCCACCTACGCAGTGTCAGCATTAGGCGCCCCCATGACGCCGCGACCAAACCACTCCGCCACCGTCGCGAACCGATCCTCGCTGCGCTCCAACTCGGCCTTGAACAGCTCATGCTTCCCCGCCGTCTCAATCTGCGTCTTGCGCAGCGCGCGGATCGTCGCGTTATCGTTGGCGCACTGCGGACACTCGCCCTCGGTGCGGAGGCACCGCTGGTGGAAGCTGTGCTTGCAGAGGAAGTGCACAGCGGGCAGGTCGAGGGGTGCCGTGCAGACGGCGCAGCGCGTCGACTGGAACACGGCCGGCTTGGAGCCGAGGTCGGCGAGCTCGGCCCGCTTCTGTTCTGTCTCGCTGCGGAAGGCCGAGATGCGGCGCCGGTTGGCGGCGATCTCCTTGCGCTCGCGCTCAATCGTCTCGTGGAGGTAAGGCTTGATCATGCCCATTGTCGCGACGCCGCCTGAGGAGCCGGACTGGCCGACCAGCGTCTGGATGACCTGCAACGGCGCCATGAGGCCGTCCTTGTCGATTTTGTTGAGGACGGCAGAAAGCTCTTCTGATCCGGCTTCCCGGAGAATTCGGGGGTCGGAAGTCAGGTATGCCAGGGCTGCAGGGTATAGTTGCGGTTCTTCGGGGCCATACTTTCGAAGGGCTTTGATGGCTCCGCGGGTATCTTTGGCTGAGGTGTACGATCGGAAAATGTCAAAGAGTAAACCGGATTGCTCCTTGACCAAGGTTGTGCCGTCCTTGAAGTCAGAAAGGTGCGAAAGCAACAGGACATTGGAACTCTCCATCGGAATGTCTTCTCCTTCGATGAGCTTCTTCGCCTTGTTCTCCCACTCTTCTCGATGCTGCTCCCCTTTCTTCTCATTTGACTTGTGTAGGTACATCTCAAAGAGTGTGGTGTACAAATCTGTCCTGTCGCTTTCCTTAAGACCTGTGTCTTCTAGGCATGCCTCCAGGAAAACAATGAACTCGTCTGGATGGTCGATGAAGGATGAGAAAGCAGTCCTTGGAGGCGGTGGGGTGTATTTCGGCGCAGGAATGTCGTCGGGATTCAAGATGATCTGAGCATCGCCGTTGATGGCTGTTCCATTGCCCGGTGTGGATGGGCTTTGGAGAGAAGATGTGTTCATGTATGGCAGAGGTAAAAAGTTGGAAAGGTTCTGGACGGCACTTGCTGCACCGGCCACCATGCCGCCGGCTACAACAGCCTCTCCGTTGTCCTCGATCGGTACAAAGTGTAGCCTCGGACGGTACTTGCCAGTGTAGTAGTCCACGAAGACTGTGGTCGCATCCTTTGGACAGTTCTCGATGAGAACTCTGGCATACTTCTTGAGGCAAGGGAATGCCTAATGAAATATCAGAATTGTTCAAATACTGGAGAAGTATGGAACTCACCACTTCCGGGTCTTGATGCCATATAAAATCGAGAGCCTCGTTGTACAATTTGGAGTCTTCTATCAGGATGTCCACGACCAGTTCGATTTCGCCGTGCTTCTTGGCAAGATATGCAGCTTGTTCGTAGTAGCCTCCTTGCCTACACATAGTGATTGCAGTCTCGAGGTCAAACTTTAAATCACCGGGTGATTTGATAAATGCCTCCAACTTGTCGATATCTTTGAGCTTCGCATAGCAGTTCAAAAGTAATGTTGTGTGGTCAGACGTTGCCTTGCGATGCTCATGTAGCTGCTCAAGATACTGTATCAGGTTGTGTATCCTTTGTGTATCGAGGAACTATGATTATTAGTCTTTCTGCGCTCTATTTCTTCTGGATGTGGAAGCTTACCTTTCTGATGACCTGTGATGGTTCAGTAGTATCGATCGCCTTGATGTATTGGACCATGGCACCGTCGTAATCAGCTTTTTGATACAGATGGTCGCCAAAGCGTCGGAAGATGCCGCTCTGCTGTGTCGCATCCAGCCGTGACTTTTGTGCCAGTTCAATAGCCAAGGGGTACATGTTGCGCTGGTACAGCATTTCGAGGCGCTGTTGCAGTGACTTTTCATGGTATCGGTTTACCTTGCCATCTTGTGTGAGAACGAACAGATCACCCCAGATTTGGAAGATGGCTTTGAATGGCGAGATCAGAGATTGTGTGTGGCTGAGCACTCTAAGGTCTGGCTCGAGAAGAATGAACGTTGATGCGTTGAAGAGCGCATCCGCTGCTCCACCTCCACCTCCAAAGCGTCGACGCATAGTGTCGTTGCCTTTGTCGGTGGAGGAAGCCGATGGTGGGCATACCAGTGCAACGTAATCCTGGTAGATCGAAACTAGTCTTTTCGGCGATTCGTACGCACGCGGCGCTCCTCTGCCTTCCAAGGTGTAGGTGTAGATGGCATCCTCTCGGGCGACTACCACGTCTCCTGTCTTCTTGTCAACCGTCATACAGTCAACGTGACATCCCATGTCTTCCACAGTCTTGGGCGGGGAGCTATGGCCCCTTCTCGAAATCCCAAGCTTCAGAATTCGGGCTGTTGTTGAGATGAATAGGGTCGTGACATCCTGGGAATCCGTCATGAGCTCCACGCCTGTGATAGGTTCTTCTGAGTCGTGCACCGTCCTTTGCTTCGCCCCCAGGTCGTTGATCAAGTCGCCTCGGATCAGGGTCACCGTGCCGTTCGCGAAGCCGACTGCTACTTGGGTAAGGTTGTCGAGAACATCGATAGCCGAGATCTGGATGAGAAAGTGATTAGTTGATGCTTTGGAACTATGCGCTCGAGTCCTCCCTTACCGGAAATTGCTTCCTGCCATTGTTGATCTGCAAAGTGCTTAAACAAGTCGGCATATTGGTCTTCTTCACTAGCTTATCCAGAGCCCAGATCTTCAACACCGGCTCGCTGCTGAGGTCTTCCTGCTCAGATGTCAGTTTCCATTCTCGTCATCTCACGATTGTTGCGTCCACCTACAGCTACAGTAACAAGCAGGCTTGTCCCCTCGATCTGGCGCATGTGTGTGATCGTCCCGAGCTCGTGAGCCTGGAAGCTCTTCACCACCTTCCAACTCGAACCGACAATTCGAACGTATCCATCGTAGCTACCGAGGAATAGACTGTCGGAACCGGAGCAAACACTAGCGATCTCGTTGCTCTCGAAGAAGACTCGGGTCTCCTCATCGGCGAGCCGGACCTGGCTGACGTCGAAGAAGTCGAATGCCTTCCACTTCAGTGCAGGTGGTTAGCGGACGTCGGGTCGCAGAGAGCACATTGAGGGGGGATTTGCAAACGAACCTGAAAGGCCATGGCTACATCTCCTAGCGACAGCAAGTTGAGAGAAAGGCAAGGTCGACAAGCGTGAGCGCAACGGCGGTTGTTGATTGACGTCGGTGCCTCGCGCTCCAATGACGCTGCTGTGGGGAGCTTTGGTAGCTGTCGCTGTCGCTGCCGCTGGTCTCCGAGCATGACCCACCCGCCTGTGGCAACCCAAACCTACTGGACCAAAGCTTC